GGATCTTTAAAGTAAAAGACCTGTCCCGATTATTCAATTGCAGTTTGTGTTCGAGTGTACAGCCGGTTGCTGTGCAAGTTGCTAATTTTTCGATTTAGACATATGTTGTTAAAGATATCCGTTGTTTTAATAGGTAGTCATTCCGACTACCCGGTTGCTTCAGGTAGTCATTCATATTTGTATCGAAAGTGATGCGAAGCTCAACTTTGCATCTGTTGAATGAGTGTATTTTGATCTGGTAAAAGGTCGGTCTGGTATATGATCAGTGAAGTAAAAGACATGGTCCCGATTAATCAATTGTATTTGTGTTCAGGTGGTCAGCCGGTTGCTGTGCAGGTTGCTAATTTTTTAGTTTAGACATCCGTTGTTTCAATAGGTAGTCATTCTGACTACCCGGTAGACTACCCAGTTGCTTCAGGTAGTCATTCGTTTTTGTATCGCAAGTGGTGCGAAGCTCAACTCCGCCTCTGTTGAATGAGTGTATTTTGATCTGGTTAAAGCTCGGTCTGGTATAGAATCAGTTAAGTAAAAGACCTAGTCCCGATTATTCAATTGTAGTTTGTGTTCGGGTGGACAGCCGGTTGCTGTGCAAGTTGCTAATTTTTCGATTTAGACATATGTTGTTTAAGATATCCGTTGTTTTAATAGGTGTCATTCCGACTACCCGGTTGCTTCAGGTAGTCATTCATATTTGTATCGAAAGTGATGCGAAGCTCAACTTTGCATCTGTTGAATGAGTGTATTTTGATCTGGTAAAAGGTCGGTCTGGTATATGATCAGTGAAGTAAAAGACATGGTCCCGATTAATCAATTGTATTTGTTTTCAGGTGGTCAGCCGGTTGCTGTGCAGGTTGCTAATTTTTTAGTTTAGGCATCCGTTGTTTCAATAGGTAGTCATTCTGACTACCCGGTAGACTACCCAGTTGCTTCAGGTAGTCATTCATTTTTGTATCGCAAGTGGTGGGAAGCTCAACTTCGCTTCTGTTGAATGAGTGTATTTTAATCTGGTAAAAGGTCGGTCTTGTATAGGATCTTTAAAGTAAAAGACCTGTCCCGATTATTCAATTGCAGTTTGTGTTCGAGTGTACAGCCGGTTGCTGTGCAAGTTGCTAATTTTTCGATTTAGACATATGTTGTTAAAGATATCCGTTGTTTTAATAGGTAGTCATTCCGACTACCCGGTTGCTTCAGGTAGTCATTCATATTTGTATCGAAAGTGATGCGAAGCTCAACTTTGCATCTGTTGAATGAGTGTATTTTGATCTGGTAAAAGGTCGGTCTGGTATAGGATCAGTGAAGTAAAAGACATGGTCCCGATTAATCAATTGTATTTGTGTTCAGGTGGTCAGCCGGTTGCTGTGCAGGTTGCTAATTTTTTAGTTTAGACATCCGTTGTTTCAATAGGTAGTCATTCTGACTACCCGGTAGACTACCCAGTTGCTTCAGGTAGTCATTCGTTTTTGTATCGCAAGTGGTGCGAAGCTCAACTCCGCCTCTGTTGAATGAGTGTATTTTGATCTGGTTAAAGCTCGGTCTGGTATAGGATCAGTTAAGTAAAAGACCTAGTCCCAATTATTCAATTGTAGTTTGTGTTCGGGTGGACAGCCGGTTGCTGTGCAAGTTGCTAATTTTTTAGTTTAGACATCCGTTGTTTCAATAGGTAGTCATTCTGACTACCCGGTAGACTACCTAGTTGCTTCAGGTAGTCATTCATTTTTGTATCGCAAGTGGTGGGAAGCTGAACTTCGCCACTGTTGAATGAGTGTATTTTAATCTGGTAAAAGGTCGGTCTGGTATAGGATCTTTAAAGTAAAAGACCTAGTCCCGATTATTCAATTGCAGTTTGTGTTCGAGTGGACAGCCGGTTGCTGTGCAAGTTGCTATTTTTCTAGTTTAGACATCCGTTGTTTCCATAGGTAGTCATTTTGACTACCCGGTAGACTACCCATTTGCTTCAGGTAGTCATTCATTTTTGTTTCACAGGTGGTGCGAAGCTCAGCTTCGCCTCTGTTGAATGAGTGTATTTTTTGATCTGGTAAATGGTTGGTCTGGTATAAGATCAGTAAAGTAAAAGACCTAATCACGATTTTTCAATTGTAATTTGTAGTCGGGTGGACAGCCGGTTGCTGTGCAAGTTGCTAATTTCTGGATTTAGACATCCGTTGGCTCAGACATCCTTTGTTTTAATAGGTAGTCATTCCGACCACCCGGTTGCTTCAGGTAAGCCTTCATATTTGTATTGCAAGTGGTACGAAGCTCAGCTTCACCTCTGTTGAATGAGTATTTTGATCTGGTAAGTGGTAGATCTGCTATAAGATCAGTAAAGTAAAAGACCTAGTCCCGATTGTTCAATTGTAATTTGTATTCGGGTTGGAACTCGGTTGCTTTGCATAATGCTTATTTTTGGATTTAGACATCCGTTGTTTTAATAGGTAGTCATTCCGACATTTTGACTTTATCCTCATAAAAAACGACGAAGAAATAGCCTAAATTAAAACAGCGTTTATTTAGACATTTTTAAATAACAATTATGACTAATTTCAGTATGTTTGGAAAATGAAGGCTCTGACCTGAAAAGACCATAGATTTACTTCGCAAGTTGGAAAAAATCAAAATTGAAAGATACTTTTTACTTAATCTGGGCACTTAGACTCGGGTTTCATGGTTTTTTTATGCTCTCAGATGTTCTCGTGTTTGGTACAATGATTGCAATGGTTGCTTCTAGAAATGAATCCCGTCTCCTGACGAGATGAACTATTACGCTGTGATCACTTTTCGATCCTGACTTAAACAACCATTACAGCAATCATATCAACACCATTCCTAAGCTCCTATTTTTAGCTGCTTGTAAGAGAGATTACCCAGAAGTATTGAAGTGCTATCTTTGCTCCAACGGCGAATTTCATCTCGCTTGAAAACTTCGCACCACTAGCGATAGAAATAATGCCAAAGCCCAGCTTCTCCTCGGTGTGAAAAAATTAATGCTGAATTTCAACAATGAAAGTGTTTAAATTCATTGTTTACTCACTGCAGCGTTGGAAATTGCATAGCATCTGTTCTCTGCTTTATTTGTGACGGCTAGCTTTTAGAGCCAATAAAGGTGACGTGGCTGAGGGGTTAGTGTGCGAGGCTCTTAATCACTAGGTCGCAGGTAAATCTCAGAGGCAGCCGAGTTTTTGCTATTTCGAGGCTTATTTCTGGTTTCTATTATTGCATGCTATAGAGCTGCTTTTTGTCGTGCTCTCGCAAGTTTTCCGAAGCAAAGCTTTGCCTCTTGTGTTTTAATATCAAGTCATTTGTTTTAAAATTACTAAGTTTGATTCAAATGCTAAGTTTTTGTCGCTTCTAGAAAAAAAACGCCCATATCCCTAGCCTTTCGCTTCAGGCTTCATTAGTTATCACTACGCTACGCGACATCTATTTCAATCAGTTTAATAGCTTAAATTATTTTTTTTTGAAGAGGAATTCCTTTTCCTGACATACAAAAAATCGTGTCAACCATTTTGGCCGCGATGCTTTCGTTTTTTGCGCCTTCGATGACTGCTTTCTCCTTTTGCAACCGCGGCGATGTTTCTCCCCGGATCTGCTATCTCCGCATGCAGGTCCGCCCAAAGTCACTCAAAACAGCATGGGTGACACTTGCTCTCAGGCGAACAAGTTCACCGGGACGTTGCAAGACACATTCCACGCCTCGAGCAATTCCACCAGTTGTCAGGAAATATTACAAATTGACTGTTACTACGTCATCCGCAGAAACTGCCAGTTTATTAGCTATCGTAGACTGTTGTCAAGTAGGGGACCCGTTGAAAACATCATGTCTAATCTTAGTTGATTTAGGATTTTTGAATTCTTAAGACATTCGTTAGCATCCTGCTCGGCTTGATCTTGCAATTGCATGGCTCCCCTGCAATCGCTTGGCTGCTCAGATACGCATTGGCAACCAGAATGATAGAGTAATAAGAACAAAATTGTCCATACCTCGCATAAATAAGCACATCAGTATATATAACAATGAAATATCTGCAGCATTCCTGCTCATTGCTAGACTGACTCTTGATGTTTGTAGAAAGTTTCAATCAAATTTGATTGTGAAGATTCAAATTCAGCAAAGATGAGATAAATTTTGAAAAACAATTATTCTGCTTGCAAAGACTTAGAACGCCGGACGAAACATTTGCTTATCTTTTGATTTTGGCATTATTTATATCGCTAGTGGTACGAAGTTCAGCTTCGCCTCTGTGTTGAAAAATTAATGCTGAATTTAAACAATGAAACGTACAAACAGGCGGACCCTCATAGAGAAAGCATAAATGTAAGAAAACAATGGAACGTAAACTTCTTATTTCAAAAAAGGTTATGCCAATTCAATTTAAATAATTATTGGTTGATTAACGATCTTTTTTGAAATATCTTAATAAATAATATATTTGGGAATGTTTTGACATATAGTGTTATATCGTTTGTACAGTTAGTTATCACGGTGCTAAAACTTAAAACTAATTTATAAATTACGCAGATATTCTTGTGCCAATATTGACCGAAGTCTAGCAATAGTCTGTCTTTTATCCACTAAATGCATGACATTTTTCCAATTTATCACAATTGTCTCTATTTAAAATTAAAGTTATTACAATTTATGGGTGAAATTATCTTGTATAATAAACTTTTTGAACTACATGTTTTTAGAATTCTGATTTTTCAGCGGAACGTCAGAGAGGTCAATATTTTTTGAATAAGCCATTTTTTGCTTTTATTGGAGCCAAATGCCCATTGCGTTTACCTTCATAATAAAACGACGAAAAAATGGCTTGAATTAAAACAGCGAACATTTAGGCTTTTTTAAATAACAATTATGACTAATTTCAGTTTTTTGGAAAATGAAAGGCGCTGACCTGAAAAGACCATAAATCTAATTCGCAAGTTTAAAAATCAGAAATTAAAGATACTTTTAACTCATTAATCTGGGCTCGGGTTTCATGGTTTTATTTATTTTCAGATGTTCTCGTGTTTGGTACAATGATTGCAGTGCGATCATTATTGCTTCTAGAAATGAATCCCGTCTCCTGACGAGATAACCTATTACGCGGTGATCACTTTTAGATCCTGACTTAAATAACCATTACAGCAATCATATCACCATTGATCTACTTAGCTCCTTAGCTCAATTACAATTCTCAATTCTCGAACCAGTCTTGAACATAATTCACAGTCCAGTTGAGTAGTAAAGTCTGGATTGTGCATATTACACCATGAAATGCCTTATGTTCGACAAGCAGAATGGAATGACCGAACTAGAGGTTCCGGTTCCAGATATAACATCAGACGAGGCGCTAGTCCAGATTCTGAGAGTGGGAATCTGCAACACAGACCTGGAGATTCTCCAGGGCTATTCGCAGTTTGAAGGCATAATGGGCCATGAGTTCATAGGCCGAGTGGCTAGACTGCCTAATGAATTGATCTCATGGGGAGGTAAGCTCGCACAATTTTAGACGGAGTGTCCACCAGGCTTTGATACCATATCTAAAAGATGTTATATATCAAGGCGTTCTTGAGAATAGGTTAAATGCTTTGAGCTAAACACAGTAAAGAGTGTAAGCTTTCCAAGTTTTTGTTGTCTAATTAATGACATTTCTTGGAATGATTCGACGAAGCCATAGTTTTTTGATAGTCTGAGCGAGGTCTCAGGTTAAGTTCCGTGATTGGTTTGCTTTGCAGGTGTCTCTGTGGGACAGAGAGTGGTGGGTGACATCAACATATCGTGTGGGAGGTGTCACGTGTGCATGCAGCAGCAGGGATCCCCCATGCAGAAGTACCACTGTCCCCAGAGGAGTGTCATCGGAATCCGCAACAGGGCAGGTGCATTCGCAGAGTACCTCGTGCTGCCCATTGCTAACCTACATGCAGGTCAGTCAATATTCTCTAGAATAAAAAGAAAAATAATTTCCAGACAATGCAATGCGTTAAAGGAAAAATAGGGATAAATTAAGGTAAAACTTACGTCCCAGAAAACACAGACCAATGAACATACTAACTCTCTAACAACTACTCAAGTATATTGTAATCGAAAACGCAGTTATACCCTTGGTGTATGCTCTGCTGCCCAATAAGACGCAAGACACTTACGAAAAACTTTTTGGCTGCTTAGAGCAATTTGGAAAAAAAGTAGTCATTGACTTTGAAGCCGCTGTTCGCAACGCCATAAAAAAAATGCAGCCTGATACAGAAATTCAATTCTGTTTCTTCCACCTGGGCCAAGCAGTATGGCGCAATGTACAAAAACTTGGTTTTTCGCGCAAGTACATGGACGATGATGAGTTTCGACTGAATGTCAAAAAAATGATTTGCTTGGCATTCGTTCTCATTGACGACGTTATTTTCGCTTTTGAGGCGCTCCGAAAAGAGGATCCCTCAGAGGAATTCCAGAGTCTATCAGACTACTTCGAAGACACCTATATTGGTGCTTGTCGAGGAAATAGACGCGTCAAACCAAAGTTTGACATTGCCGATTGGAACGTTTTCAATCGGGTGGTCAGCGGAGAACCTCGTACGAACAATGCGTTGGAGGCCTGGAATGGCAGCTCCAATAAATTCGTATCGACAAAGCATCCAGCCCTCCCCAAGTTGATCACACGATTCAAAGATGAGCAAAAAAACGCCGAAATTAATGTAGAGAGACTGATGTCCGGTGATATTATCACAAAACAGAAGCCCAAGTATTCAATAGCAAATGATAAACTCGTTCAAAACGCAAAAAACTACAATCGAGACCATATACAGAAGTATTTAAAACTGTGTACCTTCAACGTACATATTTCGTAAAACTTTATGCATAGCAAGTTTGTTTTGATCTTCGAAATTTGTTATTTGATGTTTTACATTTCTTTGGTAAACTGTTGAAAGCCTTCTGACTCTAATCAAATTAGAAAAGTTTTATTGTTCCCTTTTATCTTGTCTCTTTAATCTAAGTCGGCCGAATTGTCTTTGGCTGAATTGTCTGAGTTTTTTTTGGCTGAATTGTCTGTATTTTAAATCGGCTGAATTGTCTGTGGCTGAATTGTCTCTGCGCCACTTTAATATCTATTTAATGCAATAGTTGTAAATGATCAAAAGTGGAAAATATAAGTGCGAATTGCGCTTAATAACGGTGATGGGTTGCAACACTAATAGAACTGCATTTTTTCTACGACTGCAGTACTCGAAGACTGTCTCTTCTCGATACGCCAGTCGTCGTCTAGCAAGTTTCGTAAGCCTATATTACTGGCAATGAGTTGAATATTGTACCTTTTGACAAGGTCTTATTATTGCAATCCAGTGCTATCTGATTTGACTAGTTTGGATAAAGTCACTTACGACGTAAGATAAAATCAAGTGATCGAAACAACTCATGTCATTGATGGTTAGTTTTCCTTCAATTTTTAATTGATAAAAATCCAATTAATTTAATAATTTGAAAACAAAAATGCATATGGACATGCATATGCTTCCTCGAATAAGCGCCAGAAAATTTTTAATCGACATTTTTAGTTATTTGAAACCAAAATTTCTGTTGTAGAATTTTTAATCATTGTCCCCGTTTTTTGTAATGTTTTGGTGCAAAGCTCTTGTTTCTCTAATTTAAGTGTAACTCATTTTACAACATCTGCTTGAAAACACCCTTTGCACTTTATTGGCGGTATATGCAACCGGGTACTACACTTTTTTCCGTAAACAACTTTGTTCACAGAATGGTCAATTTTAGTAGGAATGGTAAATTTCACGACTGAAGACATGCTCAATTTCTTGAGTATTTGAATAAAACTACCAGCATTTGGGTTAAGTAGTGATTAGGTGCAATGCAAACATGAAATTTTTGTAGGTGCATTTTTTCGACAAGCTATTTTTTCAAATTAACTTTTTTCATTATGTAACGCATTGTTTTTTGTTGAATCTCAAGTTGCGAAGCTCGTTTTTGCCTCTGTGTGACGTAGAACTTTTGCGGAGTGATTTCGTGGTATAATTTTGCGAGATTGCTGCATTTTTTGGCTTAAGGCCACTTGATTAACATTTGGATTCGTTTGTTTCCATTGCAGTGCACGACTCAATCAGTGACGAGGCGGCAGTGTTCTGTGAGCCCATAGCAGCTGCTGTCAAGATCATAGAACAGAAGTTGGTCCACAGAGACCAGATTGTGTGTGTGATAGGAGATGGAAAACTGGGACTCCTCATCTGCGAAGTGCTCTGTGCTGCCATAGAACTGAAAAGGTTAGCACGAAGTTTTTGATGGTTTTCTTTAAAGCGTTGAGCTATTCAGATAGTTTTTTTCTAATTTTCAAACGTCCTTGCTGAAATACAGTTCTTAAGTCTTGGGTAGACGTCTTCAAAAAAGGCCAACATCTCTGGCCTTTATTTATAAATCTATTTTTGTTTCGTCGATTTTTCCATTTATAACCACGAGTAAAAATGTGTGTTGTGCTAGATTGGTGTTGGTGGGCAAGTACGAGCACAAGATGATGTTGAGTGGGGGAGGAGTGGAGAAGTTCGACCACAGCGACATGACCAAGACACTCTTCATCGACTACTTCGACACTGTCATCGAAGCCACAGGTCGCTCACTCACACTAAACACTCACCCTTTCATTCTCTCTCTCTCTCTCTCTCTCTCTCTCTTTCTTTCTCTCTATCTCTCTCTCCCAGTCGTGTAGTGAGGAGAGGCAACGTTGATAGTAAATGTTTAACTGTTGACAATATCTTTTTCGGTCAACGTACCTGAAGGAAGTTTTTATTCCTGAAACTGCTCCTTTTGGCTTCAAAATAGGAAACTGCTCAACAAGTTTCTGTCATTTTAACACGTAAAAACGTCTGAAACATTTAAATGTAAAATTAACTGTCTGAAACATTTAAATGCTGTTTTTTGCCGACTACATGCTAACGTTCGCCGGTATTGTCGAGGATTTGGCATTAGCTATGTAATTTGCAATAAAAACCTTAACGTCGACTTGTGGCGTTGATTTTTTGAAATAATCAGTTAACGAGTTGTTTTTACTATAACCAAAACATTTTTCAGTTTTAATTGAAAAATTCTGAAATAGAAAGTGTGAAGGTTACATTTAGATTTTGAATGTTTAAATAGTTGCCTAATTTTGAAACAAGAGAAAGAAAAACATACTTGTTTGCGAGTCCTGGGTATATTTAATGATGAAAAACGGCTTGGTGACGCTTTTGACCGCAGGTTACTGATTAACCATCGAAACTTTTTACCTTGAGGGTTATTGAAATAAAATGAATGTTTATTAGGAAATGCTCTGGGAATTATGTCGGCCATCAGCATGTGTCGGCCAATGGGCACTGTGGTGCTGAAGACTACATGTGCGACGAATGACGTGTTCGACTCCACCCTAGTCGTAGTGAAGGAACTCAAACTAGTCGGCTCTAGGCAAGTCAAGTTCCCTTCCAGTTATAACTTCTCAAATACATGTAGCAACCAAAGCAATAGATGGGCTTTCAGGCTAAGGTAAAAAGTCATCGGAAAAAATGAAGCTTTCGATAGGGCTGTGAATTGCGTGCGTCAATTCACGGATTTGATTGGATGAATATTTCGTGATTTTGAAATAACGACAATTGAATTGAGAGGCGAAGACGTTAGCCAATTCACTGCCATTTTTTTGAAATTTATTCAATTCTTTTAACTGCTGCAGGTGTGGGCCCATTCCAGCAGCATTGAAACTGCTCAAAGACAAGAAAATCAACCCTGCCAAATTCATCCAGACAGTTTTTCCTTTCTCACAGTGGCAAAAAGCAATAGAAACAGCTCAGCAGAAAGGCGCTCTGAAAATCCAGATGACGATGTGACATTTTGATATGAACCTGAAGTGCGACAGTTTAGCTGAATTGACAAAACTAACTTAATCTATTTTCTCTCCTTTAAATTAAACTTTCAAATGAAGTTCTCCTTGGTATTTTGCAATTAGTTTATCATACAGAAATTATTCTTTCTATTCGTTTTCTTAGTCATTGCCTCGATATACTGGAGTAGACTGGCGTGGAGCTAGATCTTCGCTGGTATTTTTTTGTGCAGATGTCTGTACGTGAGATTTTTTAATCTCAAGGTTGAATTTAGTGTGCTTGCATTGGTTGATTTTGCAGTTTAATGATTATAAAAGGCGAAAATAATTTTTTTTTAAATACAGTGCTGATTTAAATTATCCGGACAAATCGAACAAAACTTGAATTTTCAAACCTGTTTTTCTCAAATTGGGTTATGATTAGACAAAAAGTGAAGAGAACAAAAGTTGCTTAGAATTTCACCAGAATTAATATGGTGCCATTTTTTCTCCGAAATTCTCAACAAAAATTTTACCCCAAAAATGGGTCATTTTGGCTTTTTTCAATTAATCAAGAATTACGCGGAAACTACTGTGTTAATTGATGAGAAAATTATATCACAGGAAGCCTCTTACGCTTCTCAACAAAGTTTAATAAGGGTTAAATCTCCAAAAACCAGTATAAGAGAAAAAAAATTTCACTTGATAGTCAATAAATGTGATTTTTACTATATAAAACCCAGAATCTCTGTTTAAAAAAAAATTTTTTAACAATTTGCGCAAATTTTTGGAGAATTAACCCCTCTTAAACTTTGTTGAGCTGCGTAAGAGGCTTCCTGTGATATATTTTTCTCATCAATTAACACAGTAGTTTCCGCGTAATTCATGATTAATTGAAAAAAGCCAAAATGACCCATTTTTGGGGTAAAATTTTTGTTGAGAATTTCGGAGAAAAAATGGCACCATGTTAATTCTGGTGAAATTCTAAGCAACTTTTATTCTCTTCACTTTTTGTCTAATCTTAACCCAATTTGAGAAAAACGCGTTTGAAAATTCAAGTTTTGTTCGTTTTGCCCGGATAATTTAAATCAGCACTGTATAGCTTCAGATGGCTTGCTGTTTTTCGGCTTTGCTTTTTGCTATATGCTTTGTGTATTTGGTATAGAATTTCAACTAATTTGTAGTTTGAACTTGATTAACAAGGTACTAGTTGAAATATGTAAAAAGTTCAACTAATTTTTGCGTTGTGCTGTTCTTTGCAGTTGAGTCTTTCAAATATTCTTGAGCGCAGCTTGGGCGGAATATGCACAAAGGTCGTCAATTTTTTTTATTCTAACAGCTCTGTGTTCTAACAGCTCAATTGAAATAACGACTCGTGAAAACTGAAGACATCTACAACTGTAAATTTTATTGAAATTATTTTGTGAAAAATACCCATTTTCTAAATGTCAATGCCGCGTTCCGAATTAAACGCTACCTCATAAACAAATGCAATTTGTTTTTGAAAAAAAAGGAACTGAGAAAAACAAGTCTGAGATCGGATAAAATGAATTTTGTAGTAAAAATAATCGAACAGAAGCTGGATCCTGCTTAGCTGGCAAAAGTTGCTCTGAACTAAGTGAACATCTTCTTTTCTAAATCTAGCTTCTCCTTTTTTGTGGACGGTTTAGCTCAAGAATATTCAAAGGAAACAATTACTTTTTGCAGTTGAGTCAAAAATAGTAGCTCGCATTATAAAACCTAGTATAATTTTCCCGCAAAAAAATAGATTTAATATCATATGCGATTGCTCAAGCGTTAATTAAGGAACCCTTTGGGTCGGCAGGAGGTCGAATCCCTGAGGGGAGGTGGAGCATCCGCCCCCCCCCCCCCTAAATCCGCCCCTGTTCATAACCCTTGCGTTGAGCAAAGGTATTGCATTCGGGTTCTACACTTTTTTCCGTAAAAGACTTTGTTCACAGGACTCATTTTGTTTCCTGGACTCCTTCATCTTCTGACATGCTCAATTTTTTAAGTAGTAATTAGGTAAAGCTGCTCAGGTTGTAATTATTTCTCAAAAAATGTCTCAATTTTCCGGGTTTTTGGTTTTCCTATTTTTGTCGGATCCGTTTCTTACCATCATTTTTAAAATCTGATGGGATTTAATTGGCTTTTTTCTAGAGCATGTGTTTGATTTTTTCAGCTGAAAATTCAGTAGTTTATAAGTTTAATAAGTCTATTATTGGGTTTTTTTTAAATATTCAAAATTGCAGTTTATGATGTATCGGCTTAGTAAATTTAATTTGAATAATTTAATTTCGAGATCAAATATATTAGATTGCGGTATGTGGTTCCCATTGGTTAAGGCTTAAAAATGTTCCAAGTTTTATGAAACTTTTTATGACAACAGTTTTGTTTTCGACCCAAACAGGTTTTGACCCAAATTTTGTTACCTATCTTGACCAAATTCAATCTGTAAGGATCCTGAATTTTATTAATAAATTTATTTAAACTTAAAATTTTTGTCTAGTGTAATAAATTTTACTTTTTCATTTAATCTCAAAGTTCTTATCTTTTCAAGTATCTCAACGAAATCCAATTTTTAAGGACCGTGATTTTTTAAAATATACTCAATTTAGCAAAACTTTTTTCCTCCAGTATAAAAAAGTCAATTTTTCAACCGTATTCTTAGCAGTTTCTTTTGCTTTTTCAATTATCAAGGGTGAGTGAAACGGCTATTGCCTTTTCAGTCCATGCTTGCAACGACAAGTTGGGTTGGTTCCCGTCTAACTCCCGCCTCAGAGAGCTTTTTATATGAAATTCTTCTCTTTTGATTTGTTTTTGGTCGGATATCAAGTGTTTGTTTTTGCTCGATTTGATTTGCAAAGATTATATTTTTTTCATGAAAGAAAATTTTAAACTAAAATTGAAGAGATCTAATCCTGTAATTTGTTAATTGATATGGAAATCGGGTACTAGACTTTTCCCTCGTAAAAAACTTTGTTCACACGATCTCCAATTTCAAAGTCTCCACTTCCAATTTCTCCAAATTTCACGTCAGTCAATTTGGAGAGATTGAATTGTTAATTAACATCTGGTTGAGGTTGCATTGTTAATTAACATCTGGTCGAGAGCTACTAGAGCGATACTGGGTCTACAGATAAAACAATTTTCAAAATTAAGTTGATTTTTGTCGGTTTTTGATTTCTTCCCAATGTTTGTCGGCTTACTTGACAAGTTTTTTTTTATTTCTTGATATTTTGGGAGTTTGCTTTCTTATTTTTTTCTTTTTTTTCAAGAGGGTAAAAAGATTCCTGTTTTTTTGAAGATTTTTAGAGGATTTTTTTTAATTATAGAAAGTTTCCTAACAATTTCTTTTTTCGAATGTGTCGATTCTACGACAAAAATGTTATGATTGATTCCCGTCTATTTCCCGCCTCAGGGAGTTTTTTTCTCTATATTTTTTACGATTTGTTTTTGGTCGGACTATCAATTGTGTTTATTTTTGCTCAAATTATTTTCTAAAGAGCATATTTTTTAAAAGAAAATATTAAACTAAAATTAAAAATAGTTTTGAGCTAACTCAGTAATTTTTAAATTGATATGACTGCTGATGACTTTGTAGTGAGTACCCTTGCGATAAACAAGGGTATTGCAATCGGGTACTAGATTTTTCCCCCGTAAAGAACTTTGTTCACACGATCTCCAATTTTAAAGTCTCCATTTCCAAACACTCCAAGTTGCACGTCAGCTCGAGTTTGCCAGGTTGCATTGTTATTTAAAATTTGGTCTAGAGCTACTAGAGCGATACTGGTTTACACTTGAAAACAAACTGAATTTTTTGTCGGCTTTTTGATTGCATTACAATGTTTGTCGGCTTACCTGCCGTTTTATTTTTTGATGTTTTTGGTTGAATTTTAAGTACTCTCTTTCTTCATTTTCAACAAGGTAATTAAAATTTTGATTTTTATGCACTCAAAACATTTTGTTAGACGAGAATTTTTTTAAATTAAGTTTCCCTCCACTTTCTTTTTTTCGAATGCATCGATTCTGGTTATTTTGCAACTACAAGTGCGTGGAAACATTTTAGCTTATTGTTTTGTTTCAAGTTTGAGCACCGTTACTTGAAATCTATTCAAGTTGATGGAATAGCGTTTGCGTAAAAAACATACAAAATTTTCTATACATTTCCGGAAAAGGTTTTTTTGCAATTTGATTAAAGTGTTTTGTCAGCAAAAATGTGAAAAGTGTCACACGGCATTCAGAAGCGTAATTTTTTCAAGCTGAAATTTTTGGGGAAAATAATTTTCTTGTTTCTTTTTTTCTTTTACGGGCGTCGTTTTTATTATGTATTTTGTATTGTTAATAACCAGTGTAACAAAATCAGTTAATCTTTCATGATGCTGCTATGCTGCTGACATGCTCAATTTCATGAAAAACCAAATGTAACTACCAGATGTTAGTTACTACTCTTGATATATCTAGAACTCAAACCATTATATGTATAGTTATAGAGTTTTCATATTAATTTTCTACTGATGGTTTTTTGGCTTCATGGTTGTCGGTTTAAGCTCTGTCAGTTTGGTTTCCAAATGAGGTAGTCTATTTTGCATACGCTAATTTTATAATAATCGTTGGATCCTATGTAGGCGTTACTTGAAAATTTTTCTCCTATATCTTTTTAGACAAAAATTTACGGCTGAGTTTCAGCTTTTTAAATGTCGGCTTCATTTCTGTCTGCTTTTTACCGATTTGTTTTTGCCAAATTGTTCGTTAGTACTTTTGAAATCATTAAGACTCTGGCACAAATGTTTTTAATGCCCAAATTCAACCCCACTAGGACCCAATATTTTCAAAACCAAAAAAAAATAGCACTTTTTCTTTTGTTTATTTTTTCGTTTTCCAGTTCCTTCAACTCTAACATAGTTCGCAGTTCTGTTTGCTATTTTTTAGAGTCATGGTGCACTCATCCAATAATTATTGTATCTCAAGTGGTGCGAAGTTCAGCATCGCAAAACATTTTGAAGATGCCTAGCAATCATATGATTGCGGGATCTAATCGAAAATGTGTTGCGAGCGATGTGAGTTCTCCCAAAAATGCCATTGCTTGTTAATCTTGAATAAATAATCTTTGGGATGTACCTCTTGTTTTTATTGAAACTACTTATGTTCCAATTTCACTTAGT